GTAAAATTTTGCTGGAGATAATTTAGAAATGGTTGCAACAACAATACAATGATAGGAAGCTTCCAGAAATTCAAACTGGATTCAGAAGAGGACATGGGACAAGGGATATCATTGTTGGTGTCAGATAGAACTGGCTGAAAGACAATACCAGAAAGATGTTTCCTTGTGCTTTATTGACTGTGCAAAGGCATTCAACTGTGTGGATCTTGACAAACTGTGGATAACATTTCAAAGAACAGAAATTCCCGAACATTTAATGGTGCTCACGTGGAACCTGTACATAGACCAAGAGACAGTCGTTTAAACAGAGGTTTAAATCCAGGAAAAATGTGCCTGAGGGTTGTATCCTTTCACCATACTTAACTCACTCTGTAAGGAGCCCTGGTAGTGTAGATGATTACGAATTTGGCTGCTAACCAAAGGGTCAGCAGTTTGAATCTACCAGGCACTCCACGGAAGAGAGATGAGTCTTTCTGCTCTTGGAAACCCTATATGAGTTGGAATTAATTCAACAGTGCACCACCACCACCATTCAATCCAAATGCTGAGCAAATAATCCTAAAAGCGGTACTAAATGAAGAAGCATGAGGATTGGACGAAGGCTAATTAACAACCTGCGATATCCAGATAGAACAACCTTGCTTATTGAAAACAAAGAGGGCTTGATGCACTTGCTGATGAAGATTAATGAGTACAGCCTCTAGTAGAGATTATTACTCATTGTAAAGCAAACAAAAATTTTCACAACTGGACCAATAAACATCATGATAAATGGAGAAGAAATTCAAGTGTGGTCAAGTATCTCATTTTGCTTGGGTCCACAGTCAACATTCATGGAAGCAACCATAATCAAATGCATATTCTATTAGGCAGTTCTGCAAAAGGACTCTTTAAAATGTTAAAGAACAAAGATGTCGCTTTGAGGACTGACAAGGTATGCCTGACCTGAGCCATGGTATTTTCAGTTGCATCATATGCATGTGAAAGCTAGACAGTGAATAAGGAGGACCAGAAAAGAATTGATGCACTCTTGAAATATGTATTGGCAAAGAGTATTGAATATGCCCTGGATTTCCAAAAGAACAAACAAATCTGTTTTGGAAGCCACAATGCTCCTTAGAAGCGAGGATGACAAGACTTCATTTTGGTCATGTTCTCAGGAGGGAACAGTTCCTGGTAAAGGACATTATGCTTGGCATAGAGGGCCAGTGAAAAAGAGGAAGACTCCGCACCAAGATGGATTGGCACAGTGCCTGTAACAGTGAGGATGACACAAGATCCAGCAATGTTACTTGTTGTTCATAGGGTCTCTATGAGTCAGAGCCAACTCAAGGGAACCTGAGAACGTCAAGGCTAAAGCCAAATAACTAAAGCTGGCTATGTGGATACAAGGCTAAATTGTAGTGTGAAAGTGCTCAAGGAAGGAATGGGAGTCGGGAGGAGAAAAGAACAGACTATCAGCCTCCTGGGTGGGTTTTCAATATTAGGATGGGGCAGTGGTACACTTCTCCCTCCCCACACAGGAGAGTGGGGTTTGACTCCTAGCCAGTGCTGCTCATGCACAGCTACCACCATCTGTGATTGGAGGCCTGGGATTGCTGTGTTGCCCAACAGGTTTCAGCAGAGCTTCCAGACTCAGTCAGACTAGGAAGAAAGGTTTAGGAATCTACTTCCAAAAATCAGCCAGTGAAAACCTCATGGATCCCCAGGGTCCAATCTACAACCAATCCCCAGGATGGGTCAGCACCAGGCAGCATGTTGTTCATAGTGCACGTGATCACCGTGAGTTAGGGTCCAACTGGATGACCGCCAACAACAACAAATGTACAAGCCCCACTCTCTGTTCCGGAATCCAGCAGAGCTATCACTCTGCTGGTCGGGTAGATGGCTTACACATGGCCGTGACACCCATGCCCTCTCTGAGAACTGTTAGACTCAGGACCCAGGCAGACAAGTGCTGCCTCGTCTTCCCCCAAGGCGGCAACTCGGACACTTATTATTTAGGGGGAGGGGGTTTCAGAAGAAAGGCATGTAACTTGTGAGCCCTGCTACCTACTGTCTTACCCACTAACCCCAAGCCCTCTTTCAGGTGAGACCTGGTGGGTGAGGACCAGGGGAAGTGTGGAGGCAGAGGGAGACTAGCAGGAACCAGGCTTGGGGAGCAGCTGAGGCTGGTCCAGTGATGTATATGGTTTTCCCATTCCATGCAAATGATGCTGGGGTCGGCCTTACATGAAGAAACAGCTCCTCTTAGGCACAGATGGAAAAGTTAACTTTTACTATAAACCTAGTGTTTGTTCCCTCACCTCTCCACCCCCAACCCCAAGCATTAGTTCCATCCCAGGAGAGCAAACCTAAAAGAATGCTTCCGGACTCACAGCCTCCAGACAGAGGAGTGGGCGGTGTGGGGGATCAGCTGCTGCCCAGATGCTTGGGGCTGCTACTGCTGGCATTTTAAAAGGCACCAGTCCCTTTACCCCACCCCCATTCCCCACCTCCACCCCACAGGGAATTACCTAAGATGTCTGTGTTATGTGTGTGGAGAAATTGAATAAGGGAGACAAGCCTGTTGACCGGGCCACCAGGGACTTCCAGGCAGTGTGCCGATGCTTTCTTCAGTGTCAGCTCTCCAAAAAAGCCCTCATTTGGGACAAACAATATTCAGGAAAAGCTGAGCACATGGCCTACTTATAGGCAATGTGAACTATGGGCTCTGGTGGTAGTTTCCTGTCATAGTCATCCCTTAACCAAGCTCCAGGGCCACTGATGGGGGCTGGTTTTTCCGGAGGCATCTGAGCCCCCTCCTCTGAACCGGCCCTGACACATCAGCCTGGGTTATGCAGTGGCATGGAGTAATTTCTGGGTAGGAACAGGGAAAACAGAAAATGCCAGATTTGGAGGCTGGCTGTGTTGGGCACTGCTGCCTGCCAAGGAGCTTTGAAGCAGCAGATGCACCTGTGTGGTCCTAGGTGGGGACAGGGGAAGGGGCCAGACTCAGTGCCCCCGGGGCTCTGAGACTGCTGGGCAGGACCTTCCCATCCAGCTGAGCATGTCTTGCTCTCAGGTTTTCTTTTTTCACGCAGGCCTTCTCTCCCTGGAAAGTTCCTGCACCCACTCACACGTATGTGCAAATACATGCATGGTCCCCCAAAGGTCCTGGTAAACAGTCCTTCCGCAAATGGAATTTCATTGTGTTTTGCAGACCTCATTCTTCCCAGCTGGCTTGTGAAGCGCACCAGGGGTATCATTACCACTCTCTTAGTTGTTAAGTTGCCTGAGAAGAAAAAAAACAAATAAGAAAGTTTCCTCCTCTAAGAGTCTAATTACTTGTTTGGTGAGCCCCAGCCTATCTACATTTCAGACAGAGACACTTGATGCTGGTTGAAGAAATGTCCTTGGGCAGGTTTCAGAGACCCTCTGCTCACTGTGCAGAGTCTCCGGCACTGCCGCCATTCAGTGCTGCTGCTGCGGTCTCTCCTTGGTGGGCTGAAGTGTTTCCTGCAGTGGCCCTGGAAGAAGTTCCCACCTAACTCCAGCCCCCCTACTCTCTGCCCTGCTCTTGCTTCAGGCCTCTAGACTTGCCATTTCATGCCTTTCCTCCTTTGTCATTTCTGTCCCTCTCTGGGGGTTACTCTTCCCTTCCTGTTCCTTGTGAAATGGCCCCCTTCCCATGAGCTGCTTTGGGGTTTGCAAAACACAAGCTCTTTCTTTATCGGCCCAGCTCTTCGTCCTCTTGAGGATAAAGTCAACTGGGACATAATTTTATCTTTAGCTCTTGGCCTGGTTCCTGGCAAGGAACCCTGGTGAAGCAATGGTTAAATACTTGACTGCCAATCAAAAGGTTTGAATTCACCAAGTGCTCCCTGGGAGAAAAGACCTGGCAATCCATTTCCATAGAAATGAAGGCCTTGGGAACCCTCTGAGACAGTTGTACTCTGTCTTCTAGGGTGTCTGTGCGTCCGAATCCACTGGAAGGCAGCAACAAAGGGTTCTGGGCACACAGGAGAAGAGAGGGAGGGACCTTAGGAGCCTCCAGAATGAGGACGTTCAAGTATGTACTGCTGAAGTCCGGCTTCCAGGTTCCTGATTCTGATCACTTCTCTGTTGTTAAACATCTGCATTCTTCACCAAGCTAACTGACTGGTTTCAGCTTCTCCCTTTGTCATGTACTACTGGATGTGCTTCATTCTGGCCTGGCTTTTGTGTGGACACTCATTCAGCATCCTCAGCCAGTCAACCACTGACTTGTCCCTGCCATTGGGGAGAGAGAGGCTAGAAGCAAGTGTGTCAGTGAGTGTGATTCTGTGGAGAAATGAGAAGCCAGTGGAGACGTGGACTCCCCTTCAGGACAGGCAGGCGTGCAGAGACCACAGTGTAGACGAGCATGTGGGATGTGGCCTTTTGATTATTTTTTTCCTCACCTGGTTCAGAAAACGTCCTTGACAGAAGGGAAAGCCCTGAGTACGTAAGGTTTTTCGTGTATTATTATTAGATTGGCCAGGAGAGAGTAGTAGTCGGAGCCTGCCTCACAGGCCACAGAAGGGATCCAGACCAGGGGATGCCTGGATGTCTCAGTAAGAGTGATGGCAAACAAGGGGTGACCTCAGCCTTTGTGAGACAGACTGGGGGTGTTGGCACTGGTGTCTTCTGAGTGTCACAGTTTGGGGTGCTCTGGTCCAGGGCCCTTCACTTCACTGTACTCTGGGCATTTCTTACAGGGAAGTGCCCTGATAGCCACTGTGTGTGTGTGTGTGTGTGTCTGTCTGTCTGTCTGTCTGTCTGTCTGTCTGTCTGTTATGCTGGGGCCCTCACACTTCAGTGCAGCTGGACCTTGGAGACCAGATAAGAGAGCTTCCATGGTTCTCAAAGTTCCAGCAGGTAACAGAAAACATATTGGTTACGTCTTCGTTTCTCCAGGTGCACCCATGGTACCTGTGAATCCAATCCCACAGCACTGACATGTTCCTTGTTCCCACTCTCACCTGACTTTGTCCTGACAGATGAAAAAGACATTTGTATGTGGTGCCCCACGTTGCAAGAGATCGTCGCAGTGTTTCACAGCTTGGGAGCCCAGAGCCCTGCTGGGGACCCCACGGGCCTCTGTCAGCATGGCAGGAGGTGAGTACTTCCCTAGTTACCGAATCCAGGCTTGGGCCCACAAGGTTTTGTTGTCTGTAGCTCTTGAAGAAAATCAGACACAAGTAGCTAGTATTTACCTGAGCAGTAGTTACAGGACAGCCACACACAAATATCTGTGACTATGTCACAGTTATGGTTGAATTTACTTCAGCATGAGTGTTCCCATCTGTATCAGAGTAGAACTGTGCTCTGTACAGTTTCAGTGGTTGATCCTTTCGAAATAGAGCGCCAGACCATTCTTCCAAGGTTCCTCTGGTGGAATCAGACTGCCAACCTTTTACATGTTAACCGTTCGCACCACCCAGAGTCCTCTGTGGATGTAAGTATTACACCACGAATGGTGCTTGTAGCACCAAGCTTCCAGTCACAGGTCGACCAAATCGCCCAGGGATGGATGACTCTTCCTCCTTGGTCTGGCATCTACTCAGCATGCCCCTCTGGCCTCTTCCTCTCGAGTAAAGCTCAGACTTCTCAGCCTCATATCCTCCAAGACATGCTCCAGTTTTTTCAGTCTAACTCTAAGCCTCTCATTTGGCCTGCTACCTAAAATCACCTGCTGTTTCAATGTTCACTTTTGTTCTCAAAATGCCTCCTTTGTGCACTGGGCTGGGTGCCTTCGTGGAGAGACAAAGGTGCTAATTTGCATAAGCACAACTGTCCCTGCCCTCTAGGAACAAATCCATTCAGTCCCTAAATCCCTGACATAGCGGGAACTAGCGCCACCTTCCACAGGTACCTCACGTCATAGTCTCCTGCAAATCATCACACAGCCAAACTATTTCTCAAGGACTTTTTGAGAAGATGGTCTGAAATATAACAGGGTGTTTAGAACCCTGAGTATAGGCTGCAGGGTGGGCACAAACAGCAGCTGAGAAGTTAGCAGTTTGAACCCACCCAGCAGTGCCCTGGAAGAAGGCCTCCATCAAGATGACGGCTGGGGCCAGCTCTGCTCTGTGACACCTGCGGTTGCTGAGTCAGAAGTGACTCGCTGGCCACAAATTTAGGGCTCTGAGTACAGTCGGAGGCCCCAACTCTGCCAAGGATCATTGGGCCCTAGGAAGGAGGTGTTGGGGACCCTCAGTTCTGCAATGGCGGAGGATGTGCCTCTGCAGGCAAGGAGAGCCGGCATTTCCTAAGAACCTGTTCCACGACTGTGTTTAGTTAATTGTCTGCCAAGCCACACTGAACCACATTTGGCTGTGGCTATAAATACCCCACACATGTGCCAGCCTGCCACTCTCCTGCCCCTTCCCTCCTCTCTGAGTCCCATATCTGGTGTAATAAACTTCTCTCCTCTCTCCTAACACAGCTTCAATCACACCTTCTGGGATGGGTGGGGAAGAGAATTAACACTCAGAACAAGAAATTCATGGGGGGGTGGGGGATGGTTGGGGAGGGACTGGGTAGGCTAGCAGGGTCCTTGGGGGTCAGAGGAACCACTTCCTGCTGCTCTGATGAACATCAGGTGTGGACTTGGAGAGTGGGAGGTGGCAGGCAGAGCAGACTGGCCCCCAGAAGCACTCTCCCCCTCCCCCTCCTCTGGGGATTTGCTTGCTCAGCAGGGTAAATGCCCTGTCTGGAGGCAGCAGTGGGGCGCGCAGGTGGGCAGGAGAACAGCGGCCCTTTAAAAGGACCTCCTTAACGATGTTGGTACACAGAGCCCAGCCTGCAGACTTCCAGCTGTACCCGGCTGCATTGAAGGCCTGTGGGAGGAAGGCAGACCTTCACTGCTGACAGAGCGGAAGGTCGCACATCCAGACATGCTGTTTGGAGTCCACCCCAATTCCACCCCTCATCCCTTGGGCCGCATACCCTGGGCTGGCTCTTAGCACCAGGATTCGGAACTGCCCTAGAAGCTCCTAGCTGATCTCTCCCGCTTGCAGCTCTATGGGCCAGGGCTGTAGTGGACAGTCTGTAAGAACAGGCTGGGGGCAACTGACCCAGCCATTTGGGAATGGCTCCTAGTAGGAGTTTTCTGTCTAAACCCAGCCTCCCAATGAGAAACAGAAAAACTGGTCCTGGATACTGTTCCAGCATCTTCCCTGGGGTGGGTGCAAAGTGGGGAGATTTCCTGGGTTGCTGCCTGACTGATATGCCTGGGAAGTCCTGGGTTCCCTGGGCGCCAGCGCAAAGATGTGACATCCTTTACGGATGTATGGGCCTCAGGAGGAGCTTCAGAGCTGCTGTCCCCCACAGTCCTCTACATCCTTTTTCTGGATAAACTCAGACTCATCCTGTGCCAGTTGGTTTCATGTCTGCCACTTCTGTCTTTTCTTTTGGCTTCCAGGGCTACTCCATCTTGGGCTCCCCTGGCAGAGCAGGGGGCTCTCCTCCCCAGTACTCATAGAGCCTCATAGTTGCTAAAGCTAGATGTCGGGGCTAAGATGTCTGTGCAGGACCCCAAATACTATAGTTGCTATGAAGAAGATAGTTCTTCCACTATTTGCTTTTAATCTCAGATTTTCCGTAAAATCCCTGGCCGTCTCTCATCTAGTGCTTAAAGATTTCTTTTCAAGAAGATACAACTTTTCTCAAATGTGTAGAAACCAAAGTTTATTAGTAGTTACCAAGGGCAAGAGGAAGGAGGGAGAGAGGGACTATTGCTTATGGAGCACTGAGTTTAAGTTTACAGTGATAGAAAAATTGCATTGATGAACAGGAAGCTTGCACAGCTGATCATTTTAATTGCTGTTAAAAGGTTGAGTTGTTAAAAAAAACTTACAACCCTTCTGCAGCTGAACTGTGCAGATTGGCTGATGTCTACCTTATTGAGAATAAAGTGACCTCTGTTCGGGTGAGGCTGGGAGGGAGAAAGCAAGAGAATGGTAACAAAAGGCAGAAGAGGAGGAGCCCCTGCCTGTGAACACTGGATAAAAATTAGGTGCAAGAGCTTCATCCTTGGCGGAGGTGGCTTAATGTGTTCCCTCACTGCTACACAGAATACGCTTGTCAGTGCCCCCAGCTCACCTGGGAAGAGTCAGAAAGGTCCTGTGGTAGCTCTGACTGATCTTCCCAGACAGCTCCTGAATGACAAAGCCCAGCTGGAGAGCCCTGGTCAGCAGACACACAGGCCTGGCCATTATAGACAATAGCCTAGTGCTGTCTAGTGCAAAGGGCAAGCAGAGAAATAAATGGCAATTAATACAGTGAAAGAGCATCCCATCAGGCTTGAGGGTGGTTGGTAACTGGCTGTCTTGGGACAGTGTAATTTGACCCAGGAAAGTTTCGCTTCTCTTTTATTAGTTCAGCATTACTTCCTCGCCAGGTATTGGCCTCGGCCAAGAGGAGCCTACATATTGGGTCCAGTGTGCTTTAGCAATTCAGGAGCCTGTGTGATGTGGGCCCCTGGCCACTGGGCGCCTCCAGAACAGCACAGGTGGCTGCTGTTTTGTTCTGAGTAATGATGATGCTGTATAATTCACTTAACCACCATTACCCTGAGAATGTCCGGTGCCCCATACAGATAGTAACATGATCGTGTTTCCCAACTCTTGGTGAAAGCAAATCAAGAAACTGAGACTAGAAAAAGAAAAACTCAGCTCCCATTCAACCAATTTGGATTCCTTTTGATCCCCTATGTGTTACAAGGTTTTCAGTGACCAGATTTTCAGAAGTAGATTGTCAGACCTTTCTTACAAGTCGCCTCTGGATGAACTCAAACCTACCCCTCCATCCAACTCAGCTGGTTAGCAGCTGAGTGTGTTAACTGTTTGTACCACCCAGGGACTCTCTAGGTCAGTGAAAGCGCACCTTTGAGATTCCTAAGTGCGTGGAAAACAGCCACACTCCAGCTCCCAGATACGGGCTGTCAAAAAGGGAGCCTAACCCTGCCAGCCGAGTTCAGAGGAGGCAGGGCCTGGGGACATGGTATGGATGAGGGTACTTATCTCAGAGAGTTAACTAACCTTCCAGTCATCCTGGCCTGATGAATGCAGGGGGCACCTGGGAATGGCTGGCCTTCAAATTTCCCGTGCTCTGTTGCCTCTTCCTGGGAGCAGTGGTGGAGTCCTGGGGATCAGCTGATGCCGAGTCTCAGAATAGCAGTCACAGACGCCAGTGCTTCAGTCAAGTGATTCCTCGGGATGGCAGGGGATAGAGGAGCCCATTCTGTTGCTTGTTCGCGTGTAACCCCTGCCTGCTGTGCCCACAGAGAAGCGGCACAGGGAGGCTGTCTGCCCTTTTCACTCACTGGCCATCAAGGTCGCCATTCCTTGTCAAGGAGGAGAGGCTTGTCACCTGCACTCATCACCAACTCACATATACTGCACTCCTGCCCTCATGTGGGAGCACCAAACTGTCTGAGAGCCTGGGATTTCCCCTATCCTTGCAGAATCTGAAAGCATTCCCACCCATGTTGTGGACCCAGTGAACCTCCACTGGCTGCCCCAAATCAGAGCCCCGCTCACGTACTGGCACAAGTCCTAGAGTGTTCCAGATGTTCATCCAGGCGTGTAAACGCCAGCCTCGCCCATTCTCTTGGCCCTAAGAAATACTAAAATCTGGAAGAATGACCAAGCTCAGCCCCAGGCCCGCCTTCACCAACTTTGGTTTATCGGTGCCAACCTTCCAAGTGCCTAGTAGACAGATCTCCCCTCCTCTGAGGAGCAGCCAGTGCCAATAAATAAATAAGAGCAGAGACATTTCACTGAAGTCTGCAGGAACATGAGAGCATGGCGGCGACCTATGCGGCTGCCCTGGAAGAAGTTACTGTCCACAGTGTTGTTGTCTTCACACTATCTTCAGGTATGGAGAGCTCTGATAGCAGGAACTTGAAGCTCATTGGTAAGAGTGAAGAGCTAGCTGAGACAGCAAAGGAGCCTTGTCATAAGCTCAGTATATTTGAAACTCGCTGTACACATTTGGCCAGAAAGAAAGAAGAGCTTAGAGCCAGCTAGCACACGAGGGCCATCAAAAAGTTGGAGGAAAACTTCCATTCTCTTCCAATTCCATTTCCCAAGAACTTTTTTGAAGCACCCTCATATATGCTCGGAAAGCATGTGAGATGGGGCATGCGACCCCACATCCCACTAATGCCCTGACTTCGTGTGGCGCTCAGTCATCTGTTCCACCACTAGGGGAAGCTGGCCAGGTTCTGCTTATCAATAGGCAATGTGGGAGCTCCAAAAGAACACCTTTGGAGCAGTTCCTGAGAATCATTTTACTTGCCAACTTCAGAAACTAACCCTGATAGAAGCTACAACCATGGTGTGCTTTTTCATGCACACGAGCAGCCACCATAACCATGCAGATAAAGGGATAACTGATTTAAGGAAGACCCTTTTTGGGGATTGGGAGTATGACTTTCTGGTTTCCAAGCTCCAGATAACCCAAAGTAGAGACTCACTTAGGCAGTAATGTGTTTCCCATTTCCCCAGACTCTGCCTCTAGCATACAGAACTGGCAGGGTCAGGAGGCAGAGTGTAGGCCTCAGTGACACTGTTCTCTACGCACTTAGATATCTCATCTCCTAGTGTACCCACATCCTTGAGTAGCTCCCTCCCATGCTGAGTTATGACTTGGCTGTGTAGCCAAGAGAAGTCAGCAGAAGTAATGGGACGTCACTTCCAAGATTAGATTATAAAAAACCTCTTCTTTGGGATTACTAGCTTTGAGGGAAGCCTGTTACCATGTTGAACCCGATGGGGAGGTCCATGTGGCAAGAAGTAGAGGTCTCGGCACCAGTGACCAGGGCACAGGAGTGAGCTTAAAAGCAGATCCTCCATCCCAGTGGAGCTTTAGGGGACTGTACCCCTTGCCCAACATCTTGGCAGCAAGCTCACCAGGGAGGCTGAGAAAGCCAGAACCCCTCAGCCAAGCCACTCTCGGGTTCTTCACCCTCAGCAACTGTGGGAGATGATAAAGGTTTGTGGTCTTAGTGGCTATGTTGTGGTCACTTGTTAAGCCACGGGAGTGGGGTCTGACGCCGACGTGGCGTTGTCAGCAGTGTAGGCCTCCCTTCCTGCCTCAGTTCTCTCACTGAGCCACCTTGTCTTATTTCCTCGTGTTTTGATTTTTGTTTTGCTTTTGTTTCTGACCTTACCTTAGACTGCTTAAAAGTGAAGCTAATGTCAGCTGGAGGGAGCCTCAGACTGAGCCCCAGGAGATGGCCTTGGACACTAGCCTCAGCTACATTTGTAAGGTGAGTCAGATGTCCTACCTGGTCCTAGCACTCTCCCTATGTTCCCCCTCCAGGCCTTTCCCACAGTTCAGAGTCACTTGTCAGCTTGATTCCAACTCATGGTGACCATGTGTATATCAGAGTAGAACTGTGCTCACAGGGTTTTCAGTGACTGATTTTTCAGAAGTAGGTCACCAGGCATTCTTCCAAGGAGCTTCTGGGTGGACTTGAACCTCCAACCTTGACGTTGGCAGCCAAGCAGGTTCACTGTTTGCACCACGCAGAGACTCTACTCCACAGGGAAGTCAGTGACTACCATCAGGAACCTCGACTGAGAGCTCAGCACCTCTGCAGTCCCAGCTGGCTGGTAGACCTGGGCTACGGAGAACGCCCACTCTCCCTGCCTACACCTGCCACCTCCAGTCTAGCCCTTGTGGCTGCTTTTCTCAGCTCTTCCCCCGCAGTGCCACATGGAGATGCCAGTGCTGAGCCCTTCTGCCCCGATTCCGTCTCCCAGGAGTCTTCTCTTCTGCCTCTTTACTCCCCAGCTCTCTTTCTCCCTCATCTCTCCAGTTCCTGACACTGTGTGTCCTCGCCCAGCCAGGGGCCTACACCGATGACCACCTCTTGGACCTGATTAAGCTGCTGTGCCAAGCTGGCCTGGATGTGGGGCTCCGCATGCAGCCCAAGACAGATCTCCAGCAGCTCCTGCTCCTGTTACTGGAGAGCATTGGGGAGTGGCCGGGGAAGGTACCAGGGATTCTGGAACCCCTTGCTTCATCTGTGAGGCCCTGAGAGCTCCAAGAAACAGAGGGCACTCTTAGCACACCCTTCCTGGGAACACAGTATTGCTTGGGAGGTCACCACAGTGCTGGGAACACTCCTTCACGTCCCTGGCCTCTGTGACTGACCTCTCTTAATCTCCAGGGTTTCTCCCAGCAGCCGGTTGGGTGGTGTGCCCAGAGTGGAAGGTGGTTTCCTCCCCACAACCATACTTCAGTGCTCTCCATTTCCACAGCTCCAGCCTCTGTGCCGTGCCCTAAGCTGGGTATCTGACCATCATCACAACCTGCTGACTCTCGTGCAGTTCTTCCTGGATGTGACAGCGCGAAGCAGGTGGGTCACTCTTCCACCTCTGCCTCCTCCCACTGTCACTCACCCCTGCAGGTCTAGTGTGGGGCTTAAACCCCACCCGTGATCTAGCCTGTGCTGAGCTCCAGCAAGCCTCCCTTCCAACTTCTAAAACCCCCAGAGAAAGGACTAAAAATAAAACTCACTAATGAGTTCTTTACAAGTGGGAAAAATAAAAGCCTAATTTTCTAAACATGGTCTTATTAGCAGAACAATTGCTTTGTACAATTAGCTTCTGACTGTGCTGTCCCTGCCCTCCTTTCTTTGGGGCTCCCTCCCCGTCTTTGTCTGGCAAGTTCCTTCTTGTCATTCAGATCTCAACAGAATGATGTCCCCTGACTACCCCCCACTTTCAGACTTTCTTTCTCTCTCTCACTCACACACACACACACACACACACACACACACACGCATTCTTAATCGTTCATTCTATTTGATTTTCTGCACAGCATTTGTCACTACTAGAAATTGTCTTACTCATTTGTTTGCTTGTTAATGGTTGCCTCTTGTCTGCGCCAGCTCTCTGAGAGCAGGTACTTTTTTGAGGCACAGCTGTAGCGCCCCACTTCTTGAACTGTGCCCTGCACACTCCTGGTGCTCTGTAAATTCTTTCTGAGAAAACTAAGGGTGTGAACAGATTACCAGCTTAGTCCAAGACTGGCCCTCTTGCTCAGCCTGGCCCCTGTCTCTCCTCCTAGCAACATTCCCACTCTCACTGCAGGCCATAGCCCAGGGACACCCTTGTCTTGTCTAAGCAGATCACCCCTTTCCTCTTCTCGCTTCCAGGTTCTTCCTTATGCAACTCCTTCTTTCTGAAACAGTGCACTCCTTACCCTTCTCCATGTAGCCACCCCTGCCCTGGAGCCCTCTGTGGAAGCCCCCCACATACCTCCAAAGTTACCCTCCACTAGAACCTACTCACCTGCAGTCCCTCTGTGGGCGTGGCTGCTAGGAATAGTCACGGGGTTTTATTCAGATGCACATGCTGAATGAAGATAAATATTTGGTAGGCATGTGGACTCCTCGGCTATAGTCTTCCTGATCTGGACTTCTGTCCTAATGTGGGACTCGGTCTCTTTCTCATGAATCTGATAGAAACAGAATGGGGAAAGCCTGTGGTTTTCCACCCTCAAAGAACTAGTAGATCCAACATGAATCTTTTGGGTGTTTTTTTGTTTTTGTTTTTGTTTTTTTATCATTTATTCTTTCTCAATAGACCTGAAGCTACCCTTCATCATAGCTTAATATATGAGGGGACTTCAGAAAGCTCATGGGAGAATGGAATTAAAAGATAGGAAGGTGAGTGGAATGCAAACAGGAGCCATAGGGAGGAAGCAGGGAGGGGATTGTACTCATTGAGGTGAAACAGTGTGTGATTCACTAAATGTAAAGCTGATGTTCTTGTCTGTGAACCTTCACTCAATTCACAATAAAAAGTTTTTTTAAAAAAGATAATGGAATTTCTCCACGAACTTTTTGAAGCCCCTTCATATTTCTTTCTTTATTGGCAATTCACGTTAAAACTGCGATTTCAAGAACAAGTGCTTTTTATATAAAACATGGTCCACAAAGACAATTCTCCTTTAATGAGTAGAGACTGGGATCTTAAAAGCTCTTGAGTAGCCATCTAAGGTGCAACTAACTATTGGTGTCTTTCTGTCTGGAGAAAAGAATAATGAAAATTGAAGACACTTGGAAGCAGTTAGTCCAGTGACTAACAAAACACCTGAACATCAGTCACCACAACACTGAGACCAGAAGAACTAGATGGTGCCCGGCTACCACTACCAACTGCTCTGAAAGGCATCACGTTAGAAGGTCCTGGTTAGAGTAGGAGAAAATGTGCAACAAAACTCACAATCATGACAAAAAGACCAAGACTTACTTACTAAGGTCAGATAGAGACTGGTGGAACCCCAAGGCTATGGTCCTTGGTCTCCCATCAGACCTAGAGCTGAACTTACCCCGTGGCTCAGATTGGCGCTGTGGGCTAATGCGCTGGAGGTAAAGTCAAGTTGAACCACCAAGTTGGCGGTTCAAACTCACCAGCTGCTTCTTGGAAACCCTATACAGGGTTGCTATGGGTTGGTACTGACTCAATGGCACTTAACAACAACAACAATAGACAAGTATATAGATGAGAACAGTAACACTAGTGAGGTACATACACCATAGGATGGTAACCATTCAAGATCAAAAGGATCGCAGATTCCTAAAGACAAAAGTCAGGAGGGTTGGGAAATCAGAAGGAATGGAAACAGGAAACAGGGAGGAAGTGGGATATTACATGGAAGGGGGGATTGCTATCATTAAGATAAAACAAAAATATGTGATTTGTTGACTGTAAAACTGATGATCTGTTCTATAAATCTTCACTCAATTCACAATAAAAAGTTAAAAAAAAAAATCAGTGCCATTTGCAGGACACCTTTAGCTTCAGGGTCTGTGATAAATACCCCATAACTGCAGAGAGATTAATTAAATCGTACACCCTTCACCTCGCTTGCAAGCTGACAGGTCACAAAGATAATATATTGTAACAAGAACCTGGTTAGCAAAGAGGGTTTTTCATCTGCATGGGTGCCAATTCTCCATTTATTTGGACATTTTATTTCTTTTTCTAAATAGAAAAGGTGTACACATGCTGGTGGTGGTGTCGTTTTTTGTTAGATGCCATCAAGTTGCCTCTGACTTCATAGGGACCCTGTGCACAACAGAACAGAACACTGCTTGGTCCTGTGCCATCCTCACAATGGTTTTGTCTGTCTGAGCCCATTGTTACTGCCACTGTGTCGGTCCATCTCATTGGACGTCTTCCTGATTTTTGCTGATCCTCTCTCTACTTTAGCAAGCATGATGTCCTCCAGGAACTGGTCCCTCCTAACAACATGTGCAGAGTACGTTACGAAGTCTCGCCATCCTCCCTTCTAAGGAGCATTCTGGCTGTACTCCTTCCAAGACAGATTTGTTTGTTCTTCTGGCAGTCCATGGTACTTTTCAATATTCTTTCCCAACACCATAATTCAAATGCATCCATTTTTTTATTGTGGATTCAAGCAAAATGAAGTCTTTGACAACTTCAGTCTTTTCTCCATTTATCATGGTGTCGTTTTTTGGTCCATTTGTGAGGATTACACTGAGTGTAATCCACACTGAAGGCTGTATTGTTTGGTCTTCATCAGCAGTGTCTCAAATCAGCTTTCCTTTCCCCAAGCAAGGCTGTGCCATCTGCATATTGCAGGCTGTTAGTGAGTCTTCCTCCAATTCTAATGCCATGTTCTCTTATTCATATAATCCAGTTTCTTGGGTTAGTTTTTCAGCATACAGATTCAATAAATATGGTAAAAGGATACAACCCCAGCACACACCTTTCCTGATTTTAGACCATTCAGTGTCTCCTTGTTCTGTTCTAATGACTGCCTCTTGGACTGTGTGCAGGTTCCTCAGGAACACCCAAATGAGGTGCTCCCAAATTTCCATTCTTTGCAGTGTTATCCCTAGTTTGTTATGAGTCACAGTCAGGTGCCTTTGCAGAGTCAGTAAAACATAAGTAAAGATCTTTCCTGGTATTCTTTGCTTTCAGCTAAGATCCATCTGACATCAGCAATGATTATCCTTCACTCCAAGTCCTCTTCTGAATCTGGCTTAAGTTTCTGGCAGCTCCCTATTAATGTGCTGTTGTAACCATTTTTCAATTCAGCACAATTGTGCTTGCATGTGATATTGTTCTATAATCTCCCCAGTCTGTTGAGTCACTCTTCTTTGGAATGGCACACGTATGATTAGCTTCCAATTGGTTGGCCAGGTAGCTAGCTGTCTTCCAAATGTCTTGGCATCGACTCGGATTGTTTCCATATCTGCATGAGTATACATGGTATCAGAGTCAAAGAGTACCAAGAATTCTGTAGTTAAAATGTTTGCCATCCGTGGTCCAGAGCCACCTACATGTGTGCTCCAGAGTGAGTCTCCATCCACTTCTGAGAGCGTCTGTGTGCATACACATCTTCCCCTACCTCCATTCTGTGGCACCTTTTTTCTTTAAATCTCAGCAATCACTGTAAATTGCGTCCAGCCCTAAAGAGCCTCTGCATTCTTTTACCGTCACATTTTATTCAATGTGGGTCATTAATTAGCCTCCTTCTTCTGTGCTGCCTTAATGTGTTTGGGTGGTGGTGATGTTGGAGGAGCTTGCTGGCTGCCTTATTCTGCCCCAGCGGGGACTGCCCCACTGGGCTTAGTGCCCAGACTGACCCCAGGAAGAAGGGAGGTTTGTTGGACGATGGGCTGTCACACACTCTCAGTTGCCTGGGCTTGAAGCACAAAGAAGGAACTCCACAGTCCATCAACATTTGTCAGTGCACCCCCTCTGAGGCTTCATGATTCAGGGATACACTGCAACTTTAAAGAAAAGGTGGGATAAAAATGATGGTGGCAGAGGGCAACAGACCTCCTGGTCTAACTTCACAAGGAGGTAGGGAATCTTTGTCAGCACCAATAGGTCAGCCTCCAAATTATTTGCCAGTTCCAACACCAGTCCTCCCTCCTCATCACTCTTTACTACTCTGCTGGGTTTGGTAGTTCGTTGCATTGGCCATATAGAACTCATAGACAATACTAACAGTTATGGGGTTTATTAGGGAAGTAACAGATTATAATTCAGCATCAGGAACATCTCATGATAAAGTGCGTCATTCATGACAGCCTCTTCTCAGCTGGGTACATAGGCAGGTCTTTAGTAGCCCTTGGACTCTTGGCCCCTCAGCTTGTCCTCTACCCTGCTTGGGCAGGCATTACAAAGCTTCCTCTCTGCCAGAAAGTGCCCAGGGCTACCTCACTTCGCAAGTAAGCCTGGGTCTGCAGGCACTCAGCTCTCTAGCGCTGTGGGTTAGCAAACCCAGCTCCATCAATAAATTCCCAGAGGCACTCCATTCAAGCCTCCTGAACAAAGGTGCTCAACTTTCTCACTCTGTGGGTCAGCATAGCCA